AGTATTCAGCTTTAGGAGAATAAGGTTTATGTTATTACGTATCTCAAGTTTACTATTTCGAAGTAGCATTTTTTTTTTCAATTGAGATGGAGTCTTGCTCTGTTGCCCAGGTTGGAGTGGAGTGGCATAATCTCGGCTCACTGCAACCTCCGCCTCCCAGGTTCAAGTGATTCTCCTTGCCTCAGCCTCCCGAGTAGCTGGGATTACAGGCATGCGCCACCACAACCAGTTAATTTTTGTATTTTTGGTAGAGACAGGGTTTCACCATGCTGGTCAAGCTGGTCTCAAACTCCTGACCTCAGGTGATACACCTCCCATGGCCTCCCAAAGTGCTGAGATTATAGGCGTGAGCCACCGTGCCCAGCTGAGTGTGACTTCTCTTCTAAAAGAAATGGAATACAATTCCCAAGGAAGTGAGCTGAGCCACATTACAGAGACTACATCCCTAAATAGAGGACAGACCCATCTCCCCACCTCACCACTCAGCATTCCTTCAGGTTACAAAAAACAGGTCATGAATACCCAGCCCTTAGCACTCCCGGAGCTGTGAGGCAGGGACAAATTGGCCTCAACCTGGAGAATACAGTTCCTTTCTTATTTTAGAGCCAACAGAACATGTGAGCAGAACCGCACTCCCATAGAGCAAGAGGAAAAGAAACAGCAGGCAAAGCAAGCAACAGACAGGTAAACCACAACTGCAGAGAAAGCCGCTCCTCACCACTGTGCCACACCAAGGAATAACTTCATTAAAACGTTAATGCCACGAGACGAGAGCTCAAAGATGAGATTATAACCAATGAGACCAAAAAAAAGATGCAGACTTACCAAAAAAGAGGAATAAAACCTTACTCAAGGACTAATACATTATGACAAATACAGAACAAAATTCTGCCGGTCATTTAACCTGTTTATGCCTGAGGCTGCAATTTTTTGAGTTTTCACAATCAGACCTTGGCGATGACCTTGAGCAGGATATAAATCACTTCCACATGCTTAGCGTTAAAAAAAATGGAACACTAGGCATAAACGCTAAAGGAAAGCTTGAGATAATCGCAGCGAATGCGGATGGGCAGGACAAATGAAAGCAAACAGAGAGAAGACAAAGAGGTTAACGAAAGATAACTTGTGTTCCCGAAGAAGAGAACCTAAGAATGAAATGGAAGTTGTGTTCTAAAATAAAACACAAAACTTTCCTGGCTGGGTGCGGTGGCTCACTTGAGCTCAGGAATTGAGACCAGCCTGGCCAATATGGTGAAAGCCCGACTCTACTAAAAACATAAAAATTAATCAGGTGCGGTGGCTCACATCTGTAGTCCCAGCTACTTGGGAGGCTGAGGCAGGAGAATTGCTTGAATCCAGGAGGCCAAGGTTGCAGTGAGCAGAGACTGTGCCACTGCACTCCAGCCTGGGTGACAGAGCAGGACTCAGTCTCAAACAAAACCAACCAAAACAAAACACAAGATTTTTCTGAAGTGAAAGGAAAACAGAACCTGAAAACTGAAATAATGGCCTGTGTTCCCTAAATGTTCAGTACTGAAACATTACAGAGTTCAGCTATCGAACCTTAAAAGATGAAGACTTTTTTTAGGCATCCAAAAAACTCTTTATTCCCCAAAAAGGTTTATTATGAAAACTGAGGCCGGGTGCGGTGGCGCACGCCTGTCATCCCAGCACTTTGGGAGGCCAAGGTGGGCGGATCATGAGGTCAGGAGATCGAGGCCATTCTGGCCAACACGGTGAAACCCTGTCTCTACTAAAACAAAACAAAAATAAAATTATCCAGGTGTGGTGGTGCAAGCCTGTAGTCCCAGCTACTTGGGAGGCTGAGGCAGGGGAATCGCTTCAACCTGAAAGGCGAAGGTTGCAGTGAGCCAAGAACGTGGCATTGCACTCCAGCCTGGTGACAGAGTGAGACTGTCTCAAACAAAAGAGAGAGAGAGAGAGAGAAAGAAAGGGAGAGAAAGAAAGAAAGAAAAGAAAAGAAAAAAAGAGAAAGAAAAAGAAAGAGTCAAAGAAAAAGAAAACTGAGAAACACACTAAAACTTCTCTTAAACGGGAAAAAATTCAGACTGCCTTCTTTCCCGTAGCACCATTCAGTGTCAGAAGAGAATGTAAGACTGTCAGAACGTCTCCACAATTCTGAAAAAAAGAAACTATAAGCCAAGAATACTATCCCCAGCCAACACATCGTACAATTTGGTAAAGACAATAGGCAGAAATTCTTGGGTAGGAAAGAAGTCAGAAAATATGGTCCCCTTCCTAGGGAGGAAATATGACTTAACAATGAAATGCATGTAATTAATACAGAAATGGAAATACAGATAGCTCAGGAATGCAGAAAGCATCAAAAGAGGACTGATAGCGTTAAAACCCTTCTGATGAGAAATAACAAAAAATCATTACCGGACTAGGTGGCTCACACCTGCAATGTCAGCACTCTGGAAGGCCAAGGCAGGTGAACTGCTTGAGCCCAGGAGTTTGAGACCAGCCTAAGCAACATGGTGAAATCCCATCTCTGTATAAAATACAAAAATTAGCAAGGTGTGGTGCTGCATATCTGTAAGCCCAGCTACTCAGGAGGCTGAGGCAGGAGAACCGCTTGAACCCGGGAGGCGGAGGGTGCAGTAAGCGGAGATCACACCACTGCACTCCAGCCTGGGTGGCAGAGTAAGACCCTCTCTTACCAACAACAAAGATTACAGAGATTATGGTCACAGGACACAATCTAAATGTTATAAAAGTGGACAATAATATAATCAACACAATCGGGATATGAGGGGAAAGAGACATGAGAAAAAAACATGAGAATTCTGTCCTCAGTTTTCATAGTCAAGAGTCAATAGATACTACCTAAAATGGAAACAAGATCTGTTTCACAAGCTATTGACTTTACTGGAGTCTTTTGGGAAATTATCTCTGCTGTAAAAAACATATTTCTTTAAAGTTTACTAATTCCTTTAATTTTACAGCAGCTTCTCTTTCTTCTGTCACATTCAGTGAAATTTTAATACTTTTTTGTTTTTTTGAGACAGGGTTTCATTCTTGCTGCCCAGGCTGGAGTGCAATGGTGTGATCTCGACTCACTGCAACCTCCACCTCCCAAGTTCAAGTGTTTCTCTTGCCTCAGCCTCCTGAGTAGCTGGAATTACAGGCATGCACCACCACACCCCAACTAATTTTCTGTATTTTTTGTAGAGTCAGGGTTTTACTATGTTGGCCAGGCTGGTCTCAAACTCCCAAACTCGGGCAATCCACTCACCTTGGCCTCCCAAAGTGCTGGAATTACAGGCGTGAGCCACCGTGCCTGGAAGAATACCTGGAGTAGCGTTCACCTAATATTACTTATGGCTATTTCTGGGCTGGTAAGATCTGGAGTGTTTTGGGGTTTTTTGTATTTCAACCTATTGAACCCACCAATTGGTGGTAGGAGTACCATAATATAACGGGTGATTATTTTTGTAATTAAGGAGTTAGGTACAACTTTCTAAGTATGGCACAAAAGCTAGAACCCATGGAAGCCATCATTAACACATCTGGCTACAGACCAGGTGTGATGGCTCACACCTGTAAACCCAGCACTTTGGGAGGCTGAAGCAAGAGGATTGCTTGAGGCCAGGAGTTCAAGACCAGCTTGGTCAACATAGTGACACCCATCTCTACAAGAAAAAAAATAAATTTAATTAGCTGGGTATTGTAGTGCATGCCTGTAGTCCCAGCTCAAGGGGCTGAGGTGGGAGGACTGCTTGAGCCCAGGAGTTTGAGGTTGCAGTCAGCTTTGACTGTGCCACTACACGCCAGCCTGGGCAACAGAGGCTCACAAAATAATCAAAATAACATAAATCAACGAAGAGAAAAAAAAAAACATTTGGCTATAGAAACTGCCAAATGTTCTACAAATGCTTGATGAATACACTCTCGATATTCATGGTCAAACTAATAATGATACAACCATCTGTGTAAGTCCCAGTTTACCAAATCAGAAATCCAACTGTCTGGCTGCTTGGTCATCAAGAGAATTCTGCCCTACAGGCTTCTCTGAGGGTAGAAAGAGCTCTGAGAAAAACCATCCAGCCCATGGCCCTCCCCACTCACCCAAGGAACATCATCTGAGAAGCCACTCTCCCCTCAGACAAGCTGACCTAGGCTGACACCTTCACTCAAGCAAACAGCAAGTCTCACAGCTAGAAAGCCAACCCTCACTCGGCCCTGCCCAGGACCCTGCCCCGGAGCTTAATCGGCTCATTCTTCCCCTGCCTCCTCCTGCCCTCCCACCTACCGCTCTCCTCCATACCCTAAAAGGATGCGTTCTCCTCTTCCAGCTCCGGCTCCCAGGAACTTCGCCTCAAGCCTTGGCACAGTCAAAGCCCACCCAGGGTGGGAAATTTCCAGACAGTGCAGGAGGGCAGCCAGCAGAGCCCACTCACTCTCCCTGTGAAACTTCGCTCTGCTGGGAAGCACAGGATGGGAAAACTAAGAAAAATAATAATAAAAAAGAGAAACTCAGTGGTGATCCAGAAGCAGGGAACAAATATAGAACCCTGAGCCTGCTGTTCACCAACTAATATTTACTGAGCCCCCATTGTGTGTACCAGCGCCTGTGGGAGGAGGTTATGAGGCAGACGGGTGGTCAGGGCCCCAGGCAGGCGGCACAGACAGGGAATGGCTTATTTAGCCCCATGCTGAGTGCAGAGTGAGTGTAATGACAGCCGGGCCCAGGCACTGGAGCCAGGAGGGAGGGAGGGAGGGAGGGAGCATATTTGCCAGGCTCGCTCCAGCCCAGCTGGAGCCGGAGCAAAGGGGACTTCCCAAAGCAACTGAGTCAGGTGGGCAGGGACGGGGAAAGGCCCGCAGCGGCCAGCCGGTGTTTTCCCCACCCGAGGCCAGGGCCAGAGTCACCTCACTTCTCATCATTCACCCATCAACATTTCCCAGACAGTTGCAAAATTCTCCCTGTTGTCCAAGATCACTCCCGCCTGTCAGACCATGGGGCCGGACACGCGGCTTAGGAAACACAGTTCTCACTTCCATCACTTACGCCACCCCCGTGAAGCAGAACTTCCCAGCTTGTTATTCGGGATCAGACAAATAAATAGAAAACATGATCTAGTGGCCAAATCGTTGGACCACATGACGTGTCACACACCCTGGGTTCAACTTTGGGGCCTGCGAGTAACTTCCCAAGTGTATGTGGCACAGCTAAACTGTGAAAGCACCGAGCTTGCAGAGGGACTCTGATCAAGACAGACCTTAAAGGATGCGTGGCATAGCACTGAGGCCAGTGCCTTCCTAGTTCCCTATCTTCTGACTTCTCAGGATAACCCCTTCACTTCGTCCTGAATTCTGCTTCTGTTCAGTTACCTTCCCGTCCAGGAAGCCGTCTTGGATCACTTTTCCAGCCTTTTCTCTGGCTATTATGGACTCCTCATTACCTTGTCTTCCAGGGAGCTCCCCCAGCTAGATGTGTATTCCTTGAAGATAACTTCCTGAAATGCATCCTTCTCTCCATTTCTTCTATGTCCTCCTCTCCTCCCTGGCTGCAACAGTGCCTGGTATAGTGCTGGGCACATGTGGGGCTAGAGACAGAGAAGTTTCACCTCTCTTATAACTGAAGTCTGCCTGCATTGCCCCTGCAGCCTGGTAAACACCAGAGAGCTCAGAACCACCTTCCTCCTGGGCCACAGACCAACTGTAACCCAGACCATCTGAAGTCAAGTGTCATGACCACCTATTACACACTTGCCTAGAGTAAACAATCCCTGACCTTGAATTTCATTTATATTAATTGAACTAAAAGCTACCTCATTATCACATACTGGCTTTAAAAACTCACTCCAAGAGTTTATCCATTTAACAAATACTTACTGCTTACCAATTATGTACCAGAAGTCGTGCTGGGTACTGGGGATGCAAAGGACCTTGTACCTGCCCTCAACGCCGCAGGAAAAGCAAACAAGTCAACTAGGAACCTAACCTGAACGATGACGACAAGGGGGATGTATAGGTCAGGGGCAGTTAGGCAATTTCAGCAGAAAGGGACTTTGTACAGGATATTAAAAGGCCTAGAGACTCCTTGGAAGAGCTGAATTAAAAAGACTCAAGCAGCTCCTGAGCTCCCAGCAGCTACCTGCAAAGATCAAGTTGCAGAACTGGGCTGCCACCAAGCAGCTATGGCACAAGAAGCCACCTGCTCCAGAATCACACTGTCCCTGCCGTGAGCCACACCAGGAAAATGCATGTCCCACCATCTGCCCTCCAGAAGAAAGTGTCCGGGATCTCCCTGCAGGGCTGTCACACACTTAAGGCTGGTTCAAGGCCTGGATGTGGTGGCTCGCCCCTGTCATCCCGACAGTCTGAGGGGCTCAGGTGGGAGGATTGCTTGAACCAAGGAGTTTGAGGCTGCGACAAGCTAAGATTGCACCTCTGCACTCCAGCCAGCGCAACAGAGCAAGACCATCTCTGCTAAGAAAAAAAAAGTAAAAAATTTTAAAAAGCCTTTCAGCTGGAACCACCATCTCCCAGCGATTTGCCCAAATGGTGAACACAAAGGGAAAGAGGAGAGGTGCCTGAGAGACGTTCTCCAGGCCTTCTAGAAAATAGACTTGTAGGCTGGGCGTGGTGGCCTATGCCTGTAATCCCAGCACTTTGGGAGGCCGAGGTGGGCAGATCACTTGAGGCCAGGAGCTCAAGACCAGCCTGCCCACCATGGAAATAGTCCTTTTCTACTGAAAGTACAAAAATTAGCCAGGTGCAGTGGTGCACGCCTGTAGCCTCAGCTACTCTGGAGGCTGAGGCAGGAGATTCACTTGAACCCAGGAAGTGGAGGTTGCAGTGAACCGAGATTGCGCCACTGCACTCCAGCCCGGGCAACAGGTAAGACTCTCTCTCCAAAGAAAAACCATGGAGTTGTTATTGCAGCACGTTCTACTGTCAAAAAGAAAGAAAACATGGAGTTGTTCCTTTGACCACATACATGGGAATCTATTAAGGTGATACTGAAGGCATTAGACATCAAGTGAATGGGTACTGTTCACAAAAGGAATAACCCACCAATGTTACTATGGTAAAACATCTGCAGCGTTCCCCAGCATGCTGTAGGCATTGTTGTAAACAAACAAGTTAAGGGCAAGATTCTGGCCAAGAGAACGAATGTGCGTACTGAGCACAGAGAGCACTCCAAGAGCTGAGACTGCTTCCTGGAACGCGTGCAGGAAAACCAGAAAATGAAGGAAACACTAGCTGGGCACAGTGGCTCACATCTGTAATCCCAGCACTTTGGGAGGCTGAGGCAGGTGGATCACTTGAGGTCGGGAGTTCAAGACCAGCATAATCAACACGGAGAAACCCCATCTCCATTGAAAATACAAAATTAGCTGGGTGTGGTGACGCACGCCTGTAATCCCAGCTACTGAGAAGGCTGAGGCAGGAGAATCGCTTGAATCCGGGAGGCAGAGGTTGCGGTGCGTCGAGATCGCACCATTGCACTCCAGCCTGAGCAACAAGAGCGAGACTCCGTCCCCCCTCCCCCAAAAAAGATGGAAGTGTAAGAAAAAAAGAAGGAAAGGGGGTTCAACCGAAGGGCCAGCCTGGCCCACCCAGAGCAGGGCACCGTGAGGACCACCAGGAGGTGCCTGAGCTGCTAGAACCTCTTCCCTGTGAATTCACGGCATAGCAGATGTGGAAACCCAGAGACCCTGTACTGTAAAGAGACAGCAAAGGAGTAAAAGAAGTATTCAGAAATGTAAACTCCAACTCTCTGGCAGCAGTACCCTGGGCAAAATGTGCCTCCAAGGGTCTCTCGCAAGAAGCTTGTGCACACCCCACCTTTCAAAATGGGTGAGAGCCTCCCTGAGCCCCTCACCTCACCACCCGGGGAGGGGAGGTGGGCCACTGGCAAACATTTAGCCTGTGTTCTGCTCACGTCTATCCACTGGGCCAGGACAAGCACCCTCACTGCAGCAGTGAGGCATGCTTGGATTCCCTGGGCAGCAAGTGGCCCCCAGAAGCCAGGCCCCAGCCGAAGCCCCACTGCTGGGCCTGAAGCCAAGACCACCTGCCTCCAGCCTACCCTGCCTCCCTCGGGTCTTCCTGCACCACTACCTCCCCACCCTCAAGCCCACTGAAGCCCAATTCCTCCTTAAGACCTCGCCCATGCCAGTCTGCAGCTGAGATGTGGAGTTATGTGTGGTAATTTCTCCAGGAAAAGGGTTCTCAAAGTGCGGTTGCTGGAACACAGCATCACCATCACCTGGGAACTTGCTAGAAGCGCAAACTTAGCATTCCCCACCATGACACCCACTAACTCTGCAATTGGGCCATCAATTTGGGTTTTATTAAGTGCTCAGGCGACCACGATGCACACTGAAGCCTGAGGGCCAGCACTCTCAGAAACACAGGCCGAGCTTTCTCATTCCCACTCCAGCCCTCTTAACCAACGCAGGGAAGAAGGGGCCTTCCCGTCCAGCACCTGCGTCATCGCTGCTCCACAGGGCACGACCAGGGCACCAGCGGAGTAGGGCACGACCAGGGCACCAGCAGAAAAGGCTGGGGCTGTATCTTGAACTTTTGATTTCTCAGTAACTAGAAATACTTATTAATAAAAACGAATTAATAAAGAAGCCCTATTCTCATGAGAAAGAGGGTTACCGAAAAAAAGAAAGAAAGGAAAAGCCCATATTTCCAAATTGGGTGAGAAAGGTAGACAAATGAATCATAATTCCTCCATTTTCCCTCCGGCTGTCCAAACCTCCCACACAGCACATTCTTCTGGCTCAAGGTCACTGGCAGCCACCATCCCATTACTGAAGCTAAGGCCTTCCCACATCCCCTGCTTTCTCTCTGTGGGGCTCACCACGAACCCAGAGCATCTCCTAGGATTCCAGACCCCTGAACAGAAAGAAACACTCCAGGCCCTGTTCTCTCCTGGCCACACAGCCCCTCCCTTCCAGAACCTCCTCCCCTCCCTCCTTTCATCACCGCCCCACCCCACCCAAAGCACAGCTCCCAACACTCCCCCCGCTCCAGCTCCGTGCTACGGCCCCTCTGCCTGGGAGTCAGGGGTCTCTCCAACTGGTCTCCTGCCCACTGTCACCCTTATCGGCCACTGCTCTGTTGCCTGGGCCCTGGGCTCCATCTGACAAGTTCCACCCCTCCATCCTACACCTTCCTATCTCCACACCCCTCCTGGCCACAGGACTAGGAAGTCCCCTTCATGTCAGCGGTTCACACGCGCCCCACAAGGTGTGAAGGTCCCGGATGGAAGAAAATAGGTGTACTGCAGGACTGAGGACCATCTTGGATCCACCCCAGTCCTCCAGCATCAGTCCCATCCCCATCCAAGAAACAGTCTTACCTCCTGCTTAGTTTCAATATCATCATACAGTACTAGAATGACACACCTTATATTTTAGGCTTTTTTTTTTTTGAGATGGAGTTTCACTCTGTTGCCCAGGCTGGAGTGCAATGGCTCGATC